AGATGGACTGTCGTGTAGCGAACTTGCCATGCACGCCAAAAGGAACTGGTGAAGCACCCGGTGGCAAGCCAGGACTCTGTGCGGCTGCAGCGCCGGGGATGAAGGGAGACGGAAATGGGAAGCCGGGTATCGCGTGATTGCTGGATGCTGAAGAGGTCGGAATTGGAGGAGAGAAGGGGAGCGGAGGATATTGAGCCGAGGGCATGCGAGACGGTTGTGAGGATATTGAGGGCGCAGCATCGGGCTCATCACCGCCAAATGAGACGCCAAGGGCTCTAAGCTTGGCTTCCTGCAACTCATTGACGTAGTTCTTCCATGCTATGAGTAAGTGGTGGTGTTAGTCATCAGCGCCCTCCAACATGAAGAGGATAAGAGGATGAAGAGAGAAACTCAAAGTCGTCAGACCAAAAAAAATATATAATAAAAAACTCACCATTCAAGTCTGGCAAGACTACAGTAAAATCCCGGTCGTGACGCTCTTGCGCCAAGTCTTCAAGACTGGGCCAGAGCTCTCTGCTTTGGGACTCGCCCACAATGTGCTCCTCGGCCGGCAAGTCGAAACCGTCCACATTGTATCCAAGCTCCATCCATGAATCAAACATGCGTTCAATCTCGTCCTGTCGAAGTGGGAGCGGCGGCTGTCCCGGGCGACCACGCTCTTCATCTCGCGGGATCAGGATCATGATGTTCTTGCCCTTCCATGGTACCTTCTTCTTGATTCGGGGTGCGACGATGGGCGGTTCCCTAGGCAAAGGCTTATCTGCGACTTTGATGGCGGCCATGGTGAAATGCTCAGCCTCAGCGGTCGCCATGTCGCTGCGGTGCTCTGGGATAGGCAGGGCTACAACTGAGCCCGTCTCGGTGGCGGCCGAGCTTGCCATTTCGTCGTCGATGTCTGCTTGAGTGGGGTCGCCGGCCTTGAGAGTCTCGATACTGGAGATGGCGCGGGGGTATCGAGAGGTGGATCGAGACTTTGCTCTATATCGGCCGGAAGGCGTCGGTGTTCGAGGATCTCGACGGCGGTACCACTCGGTTTCTGAGCCGCTCAGTGAAGAGTGCTCACTGCTGTCTCCGTCGCTGAACCAGAGCCGAGCTTCGGTATTCTGGTCGCCGGCGGTGTGGGTGCGGATCCAGCCCTCGGTGAGTCCCCTGTTCCTACGCCTGGCCCTCTGCACAAGAACGGCGGCAGCGGCACTGGTAGGTAATTGCGACGGTGCCGGTGCTGGGGTCTGCGGTCGTCCCCCTACGGGGAGAGGCGGCGGGCGCAAGAAAGGAGTGTTGATGTCCAAGGAGTGGATAGGGAAGCCCTCGGACCCCTCGCTCTCGGACTCGTCGCTGGCGTAGCTCTGGCGACGAAGGTTGAGGTCGCTGCGCAGGTAGGGAGAGCCCCAGCTGGCGGTGCCAAACTGCTCGTCGTCAGAAGCGAGGTTGTCGTCGCTGTCGTCCTGGTCGTCGTCGTCAACCTGGAAATCGTGAAGGTCAAAGGCAGGTGCCCTCAAGATTGCCGAAGCCCGTTCGGATAGCTTGGGGGCGGGAAGCAGAGGGAAGACGGGAGACGATCCGAGGTCGTCGTCTTCGTCGTCGGCCGTAGAGGCAGTTGATAAGGCTGGAGACGTGGGCGTTCTTGATCCCCCGCTGGAGTCTCCAAGGCCGTCCTGCGCAGTTGCAACAGGAGGAAGAGGGATTGTCGACGACGGGGTTGGAGGAGACGTCGTAGCGAAGTTCTATACGGGGACAAGAGAAAAACAGAAGACAAGAATTAGCTACTCTGCACTTTTAAGGCACATGGCGGTGTTGCTGCATAGGAAGCGGGCCCCCATGCCGTGTCGGATTGGAGATGTTGCTCACCAGGTGAGATCAGCGCAGACGAAAAACGTGTTCGCCTGCAGCTGATTCTCAACATCCGCCTACTCGAGGTCCCTCTACTCTTACTCGTCCGCCGTCAAAGCTGCCAGGGACACCACAAAAAGCGGTTGGCCGTCTGGGGGGGTGAAAATACGCGACGCGTTGACAAGCCGCCGCAGTATTAAAACCTGGAACTAAATAAGAAAAGGGGGGGCGGTGGGAAACTGGGGACAGAAAAAGGCGCGGGTGTGAGTGCAAGCAAGAGAGAGTGTGTGTGCGTATCGTCCAGTATCGTATCTGGGCTGGCTATCTGGAGTCGGGAATAGGAATAGCAGCAGCAGCAGCAGCAGCAGGCGATTTCGACAGCCTTGCAAACATGAAACGAGCGCCGGGACGAGCAGACAGGACGATTCGATGCCACATCGAGAGGGCGGGTCTGGGGTGAAGGAGAGGAGAAGCTGGAGACAGATTGGACAGCGAGAGATGCAGAGAGAGGAGGGGAGTGAGCAGCTGCACGACGAGCAAGGCCAGGTGTCGTGGCCCAGTGGCCAGCGAACAGCGAACAAGCAGCTCCAGCGCCCTGCTTTGGGCGTGAGTTGTTTGGACGGAACTGCGACCAGGCCCTATTTGCGATGGCACGTATGGCCACATCGTACTCGACTCCATATTATTTACTCAGTAGTCCATAATATATGCCCGTATTATGGAGTCGAGACGGAGCGTAGCAGCGGCAGCACTAGCACATGACGATGCGATACATACAGGCTCAGTTGTCTGAGTAAATTCGCAGGTAACATCACTTGGTATCTACCGGTGCCAGAATTTTTAATGAGGCCCGAGGTACGAGGCTCAGAGTAGAGGTACCTGGTTGTGATGTGATGTGGACATGACAGAGGGCACCGCTAAGGTACCTGACCTCTCTGCTACCAACATCAATTCAAATCACCAGAAGAACAAAAAGCCCGCTTGCTCGCATAAAAATTACCGACACAGCAAAGCACTCGGCTCTGGACTTTTCCAGACAACAACGCCACCATATGCGGCAAGGTGGACGCCATGCATTGCAACTTGTCAACCCAGAGGCATGTCAAGTTGGTGGCTGAAAAAGGCTCAAGTTTGTTGGCGGTGACGAGCGGCTTGTCCGCAGCCATGGAAAACGAAGAGGTACTCAGTACCTACGCCCATATGGGGTTGCCGGTACTTGTACGTTGCGCACACGTACCTAACGTGGAGAGACATCTCGAAACGCCCGGCTAAAAAAAAAAGAATTATCCTTGACTTGCCAAACTGAGCTTACTGGAGCCCTCAAGGTAGCACTCGTTCGTACCATTGGAATTTGTTCCCCATGCTGAGTGGGAGCTGCTAAACAAGAAACGCCGTGCTAAGCATGAACCAAGATGGACTCTACTTTCATCCTTAGTACCTCTTAAAACGCTTATGTTAGCAGCGTCTGCAAAGAATCGCAGCTTTTAGGCTGTGGTTAATGGCCGGGCGCTAGCACAAGAGGCAACGGTACTCCGAAGCCATGTACCAAACCGCTTGCCGCGAGAGGTCACTCACCTCTAATGATGACCGCTAAAAGCTGTCACGCTGAGACACAAAAGCGATTCACGTGCTGCGCAGATCAATGCTTGATCCTCATGACCATCCATGCCGATTTCGTCACTCTCAGCAATCAGCATCCATACCTACGAGCAGCTCCTTATAAGTATTGCGTCAACACATTCATGCTACGAAAAGAAAAAGACGTCCACTCTCACCATCTCTACATCCAACCTTTTTCCCTCCACCAGCGCCGCTGTTGTACCTCTACTTCCCTAGCTCCAGGGGTTCGGGGGTCAGACCTCGGGAGCTAAGACCCAAACAGCAGGGGGCCACAATCCCACGGGACGAGGCTACAGTATTGACAGCATACAAGAAAAAAACGAGCCACCGTCACGGAAGTTTCGTGCCACACCCAGGCAAGGGAAAATCCCCAAGAGTTTTTTTGCGGAGCATGGGGGAAATCTTTAGATTGACCTTAGCGCAAACCACCTCTTGGGAATATCCCTGCGCCCATTTAATGAGCAGACAAAGATGCTAAAACGAAAACAAGAAAAGATGAAAATTGACAGCGAAACTGTCCTCCCCCCCAGCGTGTGCCAAGTGTGCCGCCGTAAATAGAGGGCGTGTGGAAAAGAGACAGCATTACTACCTGTACGGCTGCCCGAAATGCAGCCCACTTTGATGCGACGCGCTCGCGATGCATCACGGCGGCTAGTCCTGCATTGCATTGTCCAGTTGGAGCTGCGCCATTGGCTGGGCCTGAGCGAGACAGAGAGAGACGCGGCATCTGGCCAGGGATATGTGTCCAGGGCTGCAGCTTGTTGTTTTCGAAGCAAAAGAGAAGGCAGGACGAAAAGGCCCTTTGCCGAGCCTCCATATGCATTCATTGTGTTTGCCTTGGGTATCGTGGTTGGCAAGTTGGGTAGCAGTATCCCGTGCTGACGCCTGCTCCGGAGCCTCAGCACCAAAGAGGACGCAAGAGAGGGAGAGAGACCAAGGTAGGTCTGTGGATGAGATCACCCACTCGATCGCCGCAAGGGAAACACGTCATGAGCTTGCCAGGCCAGGTTAGGGCGAAATGTCTCTAGAAACAATGCACCCAAAGATCTGAGCAAGACCTTTGCCCATTATGAGAAAAGCAAATGCTAATAGAATCAACTCCACGTAGCCATTGTGCTTCAGACATTCCAAGGGAGAGACAGCTGCGACAATGTCGTAGCATGATTACAACAGCTCTTCTAGACCCATGACTGGCTATCATTTAGACCTTCAAACAATGAAACAGAACGAGAAAGCTGGACACGAGACCATGAGACGTAAAAAAATATGTGTATATTCAGTGTTCCAAGTAATTAGTTAGGTATCACGCTTTCTTTCCCTATAAACAGTATCAATTCTATATGCAAAGCAACAGAAAATAAAAAGGGCTCGCTATGCAGTAGCCTCGCTCAGAATTCTTCTCTTTTTTTTCTCCTCGCCCTCTTCCAAAAGTCTGCCGCATCGCCTGTCAAGTCTTTTCGACATACTTCGTAACCCATGCCTTGGGGTGGACCATATCCGCATGCCGCAACAGCTGCAAAAAGAAAAATCTCACCGCCCAAAGAAAAACCTTAAAAGTTGGCCGACGCATTTACTGGCTGGTGATAGTTCTCCAGCGTCGACTGGAACGGATTCCGCTGTCCACCCGACGAACTACCTCGGGGAGACTTCTCGGCGGCAACGATGTCGGCGTTGTAAGCCATGAGGCCATCGGCTTCCTCGGCATGCTTCTTGCGGCCCCAGACTCGGAAGGCGAACAGGATGCCGGTGCCGAGGATAATGGCACCGCCAATGCCGACACAGACACCGATGATGGTGTTACGAGTCTGAACCGACATGCCGGTAGGTTTAGAGTTATCGGCGTTGAGGGCTGCTGTCTCGGTGGTCATTGTCGTGGTGGTTTGGGTTTGCTTGGAGCCATCAGAGTTGGTCTTGATAACAACTTCGATCTTGGTTGAGACATAGGTAGTTTGCTGTTGCGGCTTATCAGAAGATGCATCCTTGTCGTCTCCTCCATCGGTAGTCTTGTTGTCGCTGCTTTCCTTGTCGCTAGAAGACGAGGTGCTTTCGGGGGGAGGCGTCGTGGATGGAGCAGAGGCGGAAGGTGTGGTCGACTCAGGACCGGCAGTGGTAGAGCCCGCCGAGGTGGAAGAAGGAGAGCTGGTAGTACCACCAGGGGCAGGAGTTGACGTTGAAGATGAGTCCGGGGGTGGAGTAGAAGACGGAGGTGCAGAGGTGCTTGATTGTCCCTCGTCAGAGGACGTGGAATCAGAATCAGCAGGCGTAGAGCTGGAGCTTTGGGTCGGTGGCGGCGCTGGCGGCGCTGGAGTCGAAGATGATGGAGGTGGGCTGCTCGGACTTGGAGAGCCGGTCAAGTCATTCAGAGCACCGGAAAGGGAATCCGCTCGTCGAATTAATCCTCGGTGGTGAACTCTTTGATTATCCCACCAGGTGGCCTGCGCCATGCAGAGGATGGACACCACCACGACCAGCACCTGGACAAGCCTTGAAGAATACATGGTGAATATTTCGGAACGTAAGAATAGACGAAGGAGAAGTCTGAGTTCAGGTTGACGCAGAGCAAAGGCTCGAGGCTCTGGTTAGTCGGATTCGTCGGAGCTTGCCTTGGACGTCGTCGAAATGGATGAGATGGTTGAGTCGAGTCGAAGCAGCAGGGCTGGTAGACGCGATGCTGGGGTTCTCCCCTCCTGGCTCTTTGTCTTTTGATGGACAAGGCGGCAGGCTAGACGGGCGTGTTGCTGTCAGAAAGCTCCCGGTGAATGAGGCCAGGAAAAGAGAGCGAATGGCCGGACGAAAAGAGTAAGAAGGAAAGGAAATAAGATGCGTTTGTAGGTTGGTAGGTAGAAAGAACGAATGGCGCCGATATGCGAAATGAAGCGATGACCTAAAAGGCCTTGTTCCGGGTGTGTAAAAGCGTCAAAACGAGGGACGAAAAGGAGAATGACTGAGAAGTGAGGATAAAACGAGAGTGTTTTAATATTGAGGTGACAGGGTTTGACAAACGGCGAGAGCTCGTATTCAGTTCCGGCCAGCGGGAAAAGGAACCCCCCAAATCCCACCAACGCAGCGCCACAAAGCCAGGCACTTGGCGCACTGTGCGCGGATGGCAGAAACGACCCGACGCTTTGTTGCGCAGGCCATGTCAGGACTAGGGCTCTCGGGGCAGGCCGCCTAGCTCGCTGTAGCGGCCTGCGCCTCCGCCATCTTCTGCCCTGTGGACCTGCGCCAGCCAGTGCGAGACGGGTGGCCTCTTACGGTGCTGCGGACGTGGTCTGCGCTCTCGGTTTCAGGGTCTTTGAGCAGCTGTCCGTCACGCGACTTGCCTGCAATATGTCTGTTAGGTACAGTACGCTGCCTGGAAAATAAGAGAAGAGTTGATGGATTTCTTGGCCATGGATTTACAGTAGCGATAGCATCGATATCAGTCAGGCCAGAGCAGCTCGTGGGCAGGCCACCATGAATCACATCTCATTTGCCGGAGACGTGAGCAATCGCTAGCCGTCTGTGTTGCTTCTAGCGCGAGCTATAATTAGCTCAGCTGTCTTATCCTCTGCTTCGCACAGAGCTACGGTTATGCATGTCCAAAACACTTGGACTGGACGTGCGCAAGAAGCAGCAAATCGACGGTTCTTGGGCCTGATTGACCGGGCAAACGTGAAATTGCAAGCACCGCCGATACAGAAGTGGCCAATGCCTGGATTGGATTGGAGTGGTGGTAGCTCACACACTGTGCCTGTCATGGATCTGCACAAAATGCCTGCTTGCTTGCATTGGATGGATGCTGTCTGGTGTTTGTATCGCAGCGCAACATGCTGTACCCAGGCGACTAAACGCCGTGCTCTCCGGACGACCCCGTATGGATCCAATGGCACTCCGAATGGCCTCGTGCTTTGGCGCCCTCACGAACGTGTTGACGCCCATGGCCTGTCGTCTCTTCTCGTCGTCTCTCCCGATACCCGCCCGGCCCGTGACACGTCGCTCTCCTGCCCAATGATCCCCAGGGTTTCATCGAATGCCGAGTCAGTGTGACAATCGTCGCAAGCCTCTGCACGCTGCCTCTCCTGAGTGCTGCAGCTGGACCAATGCTCGGTTGCACTACCCGCAAGCTGCGCAGGTTCATTGGCAAGACATGCCGCTGTACTCGTACGACTCGCCAGGCCTCTTGCAGCTCCCGCACGCACTACGTATTCCCCAGCACAGTGCGCCATCTGCCAAGAAGCAATTGTGCAGATTAAGTCCCGGACAAATTCAACACAGCCCAGGGAGCGAGGCCGCAAGTAGCCACAAGATTCGATCAAGGAACGGAACGTGGACGGAGTGCAGGCAGGTAATCATACTGCACAGCCACGTCTTTCTTGTCCGGCTACCTTAGGTAGCTTGGCGTCTCTCCGATCGACAGAAGTTCGGTATAGCTCCGAGTTATGACGAGCCTTGTTTATGCATCGCTTGACAACACTCGTGTCAATTATATCATCAAGGATGATTTTGCTTTTTTAGAACCAAGAAGAAGAAAAACAAGAGAGAGGAGCCGGTTTGTAATTTGCCCTTTGCCCTTGACGTTGATTACGGCCCTAGCTGAGCACGGAACTGTAGCCAGCATAAGACAGGGATGAAAGGTTCAGTCTAAATACTGCCAAGTTTATTACATGTACATGTATCCAGTCAGGTTGTTTCACGCTGACCACTCCAGTGAAACTGTCATGGCCCAGAACAGGAAGGCGAAAGTGATGGGCAATGAAGATTGATGAGATGGACAAGGTTGATATCTAAAGAAACCCATCATATGCATGACCTAATAGAGGTCAATACGATATATAGCTCTGGCGCTACGTTAGATCCAAGGAGGGTATAGTAGCACTCAATTGAGTTTGCTAGTCTCCAATGCCCTAAAAAGAAGCTCCTTCTAGTGCTGCTTTTTTTTTTTGGCCGGTGCACTAAATGGCAGCTCAAGAACCCAGGCGGGAAATAGGAGGTTGTATCTTGTATCCGCGGGCCGCCTATTTCGGATGAGACAATGAGAGACAGTCATGACGTCAGGAGGATTTGCAACCCAGAACAAAGAGAAGCAGCAATCATCTTCAATGGCGGACTTTGGCGGATTTCGGCACTTGATCGACACTTTTAGAAGAGTTGAATGCAAGTGGAAATGCATCAAAATTACTCCAGAAGAAAGGAAGAAAGGCGAGGGAAAGTCCATTGCGTAGAGGTGCTTCTTTTCCTCGGTAACGAGAGTACCTGATACAAGCAATTGTCACGGGGAGTCACGACCAGCAGCTGCCGCTTTCGTGCTGTAGAAACATCACATGATATGTACCCTCGTTTAGAGAATGAAGTTGATTCAATTCGGTCAGTCGAAAACCTGGCGATCCTTCGTGATGACCAAGCCCGTGGGAAGATGTCCAAGGAATTATTCCACGACATTTCGGAACAATGATCCAACGAACCGCCTGATTCTTGTTATAGGCAAAAATCAGCTGCAATCCCGAGTACGCGCTCCAATGACGGCACACGCTCACCTCCGACCCCGCGATCTAAATCTCATCTCGTTTAGTCCATCACCACGTCTATCATCGAATGGAGCACTGGCTAACACGGGGTTTTACTATGAGAGCAACGCTGCTACCATGCGGTGAAACCCCAAGGCTTCGGTTTTGTCCCGAACCCCTCAGATCAGATGTGATTGGCATGGTTGATTTGGGTTGAAGAAAAGCATAAATTGCCCGCCCCCGCGGTCCAATCGGGGTTCTGGGTATGTTGTCCATCGAGGACGCAAAGAGAGAAAGGGAATCAGGAGAATAAAATCGGAATAATGAAGCCGGACTCTCTGTTGTCGGCGTTTGCGCTGCTGCTCACGGGCATCAATGCCTCGAGAGTCGGCATCCCTGGTGGCCGACCTCGTGAGATTGTGCTCGACAGCAGAAATGAGAAGCTTCAGGATATTGTCACATGGGACGAATACTCTCTTTATGTCCATGGGGAGCGTGTCATGATCTTCTCCGGCGAAGTTCACCCTTTTCGTCTACCCGTGCCGTCTCTGTATTTTGACTTGTTTCAGAAGATCAAGGCACTTGGATTTAACACGGTATCGTTTTATGTGGATTGGGCGCTTTTGGAAGGCAAGCCGGGCAAGTTTCGTGCCGATGGCATCTTTGACCTGGAGCCTTTCTTTGAAGCTGCTACCAAAGCTGGCATTTATTTGCTGGCTCGCCCGGGGCCTTATATTAATGCCGAAGTGTCAGGAGGCGGATTTCCCGGCTGGCTGCAGAGGGTCAAGGGCATTCTTAGAACTGATGCTCCTGATTATCTACATGCCACAGACAAGTGAGTTCAACTGATTTCTAGAGACGACTATCTTCTTTTTTTCGGCTAATAGGCATTATGTGTAGTTACATGGAACACATCGCCTCGATCATTGCAAAGGCGCAAATCACAAACGGAGGGCCCGTGATTCTGTATCAGCCAGAGAACGAGTATAGCGCCGGCAATGCGGGTGTTCTGTTTCCTAACAAACCGTATTTCCAATACGTTATTGACCAGGCGCGAAGTGCTGGCATTGTTGTCCCCTTAATCAACAATGATGCTTTTCCCGGCGGCACAAGCGCCCCTGGTACAGGCCTTGGATCTGTAGATATCTACGTATATCTTCCCGTGGAATGTGACTTCGAAGGCAATATGCTAACTCATTGTAGGGCCATGATGCTTATCCCGTTGGTTTTGATTGCGTATGTCGAGGGAATCGTCTCCAATGTGAAGGATTGTTACTAACCAACCTGAATAGGCCCATCCTTATACCTGGCCAGAAAACGGGCTGCCTACTACATATCATTCGCAGCACCTCAGTATGAGCCCAAATACACCGTTTTCTCTTGTCGAGGTAGGTATTGTTTGCTTTGTTGTTCACTGTCCTTTTTAGTACCATCTAACACTCAAGACAGTTCCAAGGCGGTTCCTTTGATCCGTTCGGTGGATGGGGCTTCGAACAATGCTCTGTTTTGGTTAACCATGAGTTTGAGAGAGTATTTTATAAGAATAATTATGCAGCTGGTGTGACCATATTCAACCTATACATGGTACGTACTCTCCCATCAGCACATGACACTACATATAAGGTAAGCGAAGATGGTATTGACACTATCAATCCAGATATTTGGCGGCACCAACTGGGGCAATCTCGGCCACCCTGGTGGTTATACATCATATGACTACGGATCTGTTAGTGTTAAAAGACGCCCTAGCTTCAAAATGACCGAATACTGATTGATTGATAGAGTATCAGAGAGGACAGAACCGTCGACAGAGAAAAGTATTCAGAGCTGAAATTGCAAGGCCAGTTCCTAGAAGTCTCCCCTGGATATATGACCACTACTCCGGGCAACGTAACAACAGGTGTATATAGCGACAACCAAGACATTGCGATAACGCCACTCTTGGCAGAAGAGAGCGGCAATTTCTTTGTGGTACGCCATGCAAACTACTCGAGTACAGAATCGACGTCGTATACGGTCAAGTTACCGACTTCTGATGGGGAAATCACCATCCCTCAGCAAGGCGGCTCACTTACTCTAAATGGTCGAGACTCCAAGTTTCACGTCACCGATTACCCCGTAGGAAACTATACACTGCTGTATTCAACTGCAGAGATATTTACATGGAAAACATTTGCCGATAAGACAGTTCTGGTTCTTTACGGCGGCGCAGATGAGCTGCACGAATACGCTGTCAAGAATCCCTTTGCTGGCACGAAAGCCACAAAAGTCAACAAGATTGAAGGAAGCGGTGTTACCATCCACACTGCCAAGGATTTGACTCTTGTTCTTCAGTGGATGGCTTCCCCCTCCAGGCAAATTATCCAGCTGGGTGATTTGGTCATCCACATGGTTGGTAAGTGTCAAGCCCCGCAATAGCACTCGTTGTGTCTCGTATTCCGAAATAAACGCTGACTGCCGGCTGTAGATCGTAACTCTGCATACAACTATTGGGTTCCCACTCTCCCAGGAAGCGGCAACCAGCCCGCCTACGGCAGCTCTTTGATGAATCCCGCTGCTGTCATTGTAAATGGGGGCTACCTTGTTCGCTCCGTAGCGATTCAAGGCTCAGCTCTCTCCTTGCAGGCAGATTTCAACGTTACAACACCGCTAGAAATCATCGGCATCCCACAGGGTGTTTCTCAGCTTGTCGTTAATGGAGAAGAGCTAGACTACACAGTTTCAGAACTCGGAGACTGGATCACCAACCCAACCATTGAGCTTCCAGATGTCCAGGTCCCGGAGCTATCATCACTTACATGGTACCACTTAGACTCTCTTCCGGAAATTCACAGCAACTACGATGATTCCCACTGGCAGGTTGCCAACCACAAAACGTCCAACAACTCCATCGCACCTCTCAAGACACCCGTGTCGCTATACGGCTCAGACTACGGCTTCAACACCGGAACGCTCCTCTTCCGCGGCCGCTTCACAGCGTCCACCGCTCAGCAGCAGCTTTCCCTCACCACCCAAGGAGGATCCGCCTTTGCAAGCTCCGTGTGGCTCAACGACCGGTTTATCGGCTCATTCAAGGGCTTTGACGCCGCAGAAAGCGCCAACTCCTCCTATGAGCTCCATCACCTCGTTCGCGGTCGGCGCTATACCCTCACCATCGTTGTCGACTCCACGGGTCTCCATGAGAACTGGGACATTGGCCTCGATGGCATGAAATCCCCCCGCGGCATCATCGACTACGCCCTCACCTCCTCCAAGGGTACTCACGTACCCATCTCCCCCTGGAAACTCACCGGTAATCTCGGTGGTGAGGACTACCGCGATATTTTCCGTGGTCCTCTCAACGAAGGTGGCCTCTACTTCGAGCGGCAGGGATTCCACCTCCCGTCCCCTCCGCTTCACGCCTTCTCCCGCGGCTCTCCGTACAACGGTATTCCTCACGCCGGCATTGCCTATTACACTGCCAAGTTACATCTCGACATCCCCGCCGACAAATATGACGTTCCGCTATCCTTTGTCTTTGACAACACCACCAGTGCCGCACCATATCGGGCTTTGTTGTACGTCAACGGCTTCCAATACGGTAAGTACGTGAGCAATGTTGGCCCTCAGACCGAATTTCCCGTCCCGGAGGGCATCCTCAACTACAATGGTGATAACTGGATCGGCATTGCGCTCTGGGCACTGGAAAGCCACGGTGCCAAAGTCCCAGGGCTGAAACTCAAGAGCCGATCGCCGATCCTCACGAGCAGGAGCAAGGTAGAACTAGTCGAGGGGCCGGCATACAAGAAGAGATACGGAGCATACTGAGTATTTACTTGCTTCCCAAGACTAGGTTTCTCACAATTGAAGAAAGATCATCAAGTCATGTTAAATTCGAGCTTCTAATAATACAATGTCCAGCGTCCCTAACGGTGCCCAGACTGCGCGCAAAGTAAATGTCAAAAAGTATCCCTCCACCGCGTATTTGCCCCGTAAAATTTTTCCCAATAATTTTTTCTTTTCTCGAATACAAAAATATGCAAGATAGCCCACAAAAGAAAGGGTATCGAAAAATCTCGTGTGTTTGAGTCCCAAAAGGCAATGCTTGAATTAATGTACAAGGGCGCGTGGCTATGGACGTAATAGAAATGCCCGCCAAAATGGCAAATATAGAGAAGAAGAAGAAATACGACTTTGTGATGAGGAGAAACAGGCAGCGAGAGAAAGGGGGAAAAAAGAATAGGTCTCTGTGCCCGCAGATGAAACGACCAAAAAAGAGAGGATCTGTCGTCTTGAAGAGGACGAGTATGTGTGATATTAAGAACCAACAGTCGACAAGTATATCAATACCGTGAGCGAATGCGAGAAATAAAACAAATGGTAGTATATGTACGTGTAAGAACAACAACGGCCTGTTTCGGTAATGAGAGTCTGAAAGATATAAAGATAGATGCTTCAAGTACTCAAGGAAAATTCCAGATGGGGTCGAAAATTATCAATACCATGTTGCTACCTGTCGTAAGACAGTTTAGATTCGAACTCCCCTATATGTCGGGGGAATGCCGCGCGTAGGCTGATTATGTCTCGGAGAAATGGGACTATCCAGCAAACCATGCCCGCTGCGCCGGACGGCTTGCACCTCTTCAGCTTTCCTTCGCTGTGCCTGGGCTCCATTCCAGGAACGATGAGGTTGAGCAAGCGGCCAGCCAGATGAGCTGTTTGGAGACGAGCCAAAACCCGGCTCTCTGAATTGTGGCGGGATGGGTGGTGGAACACCAGAGTCCATGATGCCACGGGGTCGTGGAGTCCTTGGTGACGGTGTCCCAATGGTTGAGTAGGAAGCGCGGTTTCCTGTGCCCTTGTTGAGAGCCTTATTGTCCGGTATCGTAACCCGTAGTTCTGGTGCTGATGATCGGTCTTTAAGAGAAGATCTTCTCGCCTGCTGATCAGATGAATGGGTAGTCGCTGACGCTGAGTGAGCGTGTAAGCTGTTGTTACTCGCCGTCGCAGAGTTTACGAGGGAAATGGCCCGTTTTCTCTTTTCCGTGTCGACCTTGCTCGCAGAACCAATGTTCCCTGCAGCAGACTTCCTACGGGTCAAGCTCATTCTTGATGTCGCGGCTTCAGCAACTTGTCGAAGCGAACGGCGCTTTTTCAGCAATTTAGACCCATCCGAATCAGTACCCGCTTCGATGACGCTGTGAACATGCGCAGTGTTTTCAGGGGAAACCAGGTTGTCAACGCTCATGATGGTGTTGAGGGTTGCGCTGCTGGCGTCCATCTTGCGCGAAGCTGAACGAGATGCCAAGGCTGGGTTATTGTGTTTTTCATGGCGTTTTGTTCTCGACTTTGTAAAGAGGGAAACAGATTCGACGGCTTCTTTCGCCGTGCCATTTACTAGGACAGTGTTTCTCTCTCTTTCCCGTTCTAAGCGGACAAAAGGCTTATATAGCCTGCTGTGTTTATCAATTCCATCAACAGTAATCATGTGTGACATTGTCAGCTGTTCCAAAGTTGGTCGTCGTGTTTGGTTCTGGCGAATATAGCTGTTGTCATCGATACTTTTCGAGCTCGGGAATGAGCGTTCCGAGGCATTGGAGCTGTAGCCACTATCCGCTTTAGAAGATGCCCGGTGCGAAGATACAGATGACGCCGTCGAACTGAAGTCACTGTTGGATCTCCAAACCCCGATAGCCTTGCCACCAGAGCCTCCTTCGTTATCTTCAGCGTCGGAATAGCCCAAGAGAGGACTGGGGACTTTTGACAGCGGACTGGGCATCAAGTCATCCACAGACGGCTTTGCTTTCTGGCTTGACGGTTGGGGGCCCCTTTCGTTCAAGTTGAAACCGGAGATGGAGGCCAAAGCTCGAGACTCCGCTCCTGAGCCAATGACGATGTGTTGATTTTTGCGGCGCGCCATGTTCAGTTCAAGTCCTGAATCCTCAGGCGGCGGCTCGGTGCTTGATGCAATTTGCTGCTGGTTGACTTTGTCTGGTGGGCTTGAAGGGGGAGTTCCGTTCATAATCTTCAAGGAACCAAATTTAATACCCCCGAGCTGCTTATAATCCGACTCGCACGGAGTGACAGCCCGCTCCAGTGGCGCAAATCCTACCGACATAGGAGGTATGGACATGGGGGGCATGGAAAGGTGCCTCGGCGCTCTAGTGCTAGAGTTGAATGAATATTGACCATCTCCAAAAACTGGCTGGCTCTTCCGAGAACTTGACCTATCTGGAATCGAGAGCCCATCTTCTCGCCTTGGCCGCGTAGCGACGCCAGGCGTCTGAATAACAGATCGCCGACGTACTGGAGCGTAGATTGACAGGTCCGAGGTTGTTCTCGCAAGTGAGGCGCCCGCAATGGTGGAAGCTCGCCGTTCTTGGTGGTAGCTGTGGCTATGACTCTGCCTCCGGCTCTGGTTCTGGCGCGTTCCAGATTGGCTGCTCATGGCGGCCACCTGGAGCTCTTGCAAGAATTCTGAGCTTGACCGAGGCAGCTGCTGAGAAGCGTAAAATTGCAGCAATTCAGATTGCAGCGACGAACCTCTTTCCAAGCGATTGCCATGCCAGCTAGTTTTCCGTCAGTTTCACAAGACCAATTGAAGGAAGCCAACACATAAACAGACCTTTGCGTCCGTGTAAGAGGCCGTTCAGCATTGCTGTGCATTACGGAGCTCGTCCTGCGCATCTGGCTGCTTGCCGTCGAGTTTGCATACATTGAGTGCGATCTCGTGTCTGTTACGGGAGATTCTGGTAGAACGGGACTCCGCATATAATCAGACTCTCGCCGAGACAGCCGTCTGGAGGGCTCATACAGCCTCTCGATATAAGGCTCCCGTGCTACATCGCTGCCACATTGCGAATCCCTCGAGGAGAATGGCATAGACGCCGCAAGGTATGATTCCGAGATACGGGTGCTGCTTGACGCAGCTGCTCCCGTGGGATTCTGCGGCCTCGGCATTGCTCCATGGCTAGCCGCTCGAGGTTTAGACAGCTTCTGAGTAGGCTTCCGAGGCGCCTCTGACGACGGTGTATTCCCCATCAAGTAGATCGCCCCGGTGGGTATTTAGAAGAAAGGAAGAGAGGGGAAAGAGAGTGATGTTTTCGGAGGATGAGCGAGAATCGCGGGGGAGGGTCGAGGGAAACCACAACCAGGCCAGCTGTGTGAGATGCTCAGGTGTGGAATGCAGCCGTCGCCATGTCTCTCCAAACGTGGGCGCAGAATTCAAAACATGGGGATGTACGGGGTACTCGACAGGGGAATTTGTAGGAGAATTGTAAGAGAGCTCAACGTCAAGTCGCAAGTTAAAGGCGAAAAAAATGGTAATAATGTATGCAGAGCATGAGAAACAAAAAAAAAAGGTTTCGATGAGGGCGTAGCGCAGTCGGGTATATAGTTTTTTTCTTTTTTTCTCTCTCTCTTTTTCTCCCTTCCGTCTTCGCCTCCCAGAACCGAGGCGGCAAATCGCACCGTGATGCTTAAATCGTGGAGAGAGGGGTGAAGCTTTTGACCAGAGCGCCACCTCCGAATGTATGTTCTAAGCCGACGCCGTTGCGCCTCGAATCCGGTTCCGGCGTCAGTATTTTCGTCTGACAGAAATATCAATGGGAATCAGGTTGAAAGGGAGTCTGTTGGGCAGAGGAATGGCGCGTTGGAGAGCAGCTGGGTCGATGCGAAAAAGAAGTCTGCAAGGCCGCATAAACAATCCAAGCAGCCAAAATATCGCGACACCAGGGCCTGACGATGGCCTTCGCACATCATCTCCCACAGCAATTCCAACAAGCGGCTAGGCTATCGTATATGCGCTGCGGCGCTCCACAATTCTCGCACGCCGCTGATGGAATTGAGGCCGCTTCCTGGTCGACGATGACAGGGGAGCCCAAATTGCAACCGAAGCTACCCCTGTGAGATTGCCTGGTTGGTCGCATTACAGCCCAGAGTTCGTCACTCTGCATGTCTGAGACAAAGCAGATTGGATTAGCCGGTGTCCACCAGGGAATGCCGCCGGAGCATCCAGTCCTGTCTCTCGTCTGTTCCATTGTTCTGTTCTGTTCTGTTCTGTTCTGTTCTGTTCTGTTCTGTTCTGTTCTGTTCTTCTCTTCTTCTACGGAGCACGGGAGCACCTCCTCTGTCAACCATGGGGTGAGACGACGAAGACGAAAAGAAGCATCGTGGAAAGACCCATCAATTGCGAAAACCTTGGCAGCTGAAAGCTCGGAGCATCTTTCTCCTATTCGCCGACGGTTGGGTTTTGTCGTGGCCAGCTGGAGAGCAAGATTCGGGGCTAGCTGGTCTAGCGCGCTCGATAGCTAAGAGGGAGAGTCAGCCCATGGCATTCGAGGCCGAAATCCGGATTTGCAGCGGGAGAAGAAAATATATCACATCATCGCCTACCTGTTTTGTCCTGTCTGGTTGTCGTTGTCGAGGCTGGTTGGCTGGCTGTCTGTCTGTCCGTCCGTCTGTCCTGTCCCGTTTGGCTTGGTTCCATCTGTCGAAAACTGCCACGTCGCGTCCGCAGCCCAGCCAACCAGTTGCCAGACACTCAATTTCAATCGACGATCAATCGAGTCCACATCGCCAGTCAATCAATGAACCAGCGCTAACTAACGTCAACGACGGATCCTCGGATGCTGCAAGACCGGCGACCTCTGCGGGCACGGCGGTGCAAGATCTCCATCTGGCCTGCATGGCGTGTGGGGAGCTTCTCATTACAAACGGATCCCAGCACGATCTAGCGATAATTACCGGAGCCCCTCAGCAAGATCCGGCGAGGACGACGAGGTGCTTCTAATTTCAGACAGAACAGACACCGCAGGCGGCATTCCATGGCAAAGTCACAATGGCAGTGGAGGGCAAAGAAATGAGCAGGCCGATGACTAAGCCTCCCCCTTTCGCTGCTGCTACCTGCAATATCGAGTATACGAAGCATTCCCTACTAGCTGTTGCATCAGGCGGTTACAGGTAAAGGTACAGCACAAGCAATCTCTGGTGCTCGTCTCCATCACTGGAGCTACTTACTACCTATTAAACTCTATGCTGTACGAGTAGGTATTCGTACGATACGACGTGCTAGTACAGTAACTAGCCAAGGTAGCAGGAGTTGTTAAGACGGATCAATGGCTGGTCTAAAGAGGCTGGACCCAATGAGCCAATATTGCATTAGCGAAGTCTCATCTAGAAATCATCCGATGACAAACCTGCGGGCAAATCGAATCCATTCTGCTGACTCCCGCCCACATGCCAAAAAAAAAAGGAAGCAAAAAAGCATCAATGGGATCGTGCTGACCGGAGCCCTAGCAAGCGAAATCTCGGTTCCGCCCAGAGACATGGTCCCCCATTGACAGTGGAAATGCTGTACGAGTACTGTAAGGTAGCATTGCATCATTCGCTGGACGGCACGCGCGGAGAGAGAGACTGCCGATGCCGAGGGAAATTAGTTGGCTGAGGTGACGTTTGCCATGGTCTGCACCAACTCGAAAGTGGTAAACATTCATGTCTCATATTAGAGTTACCCTAGACCATCGTGAGAGTTTGGAGGCATGCCTTTTTTTTTTCCTCCTCTCTCTTCCTTTTTACTATATGCACGTTGACACTTTATTCTTTGACCTCTGACGTGATGCTATGATTTTACATTTCCATTATTAATTGGATGACAGGTGTTGACTTTCTCTCGTTTCTGGCTCCATATCGTTCGTAATATATTGTGATTTTAATAATTAAAGGTAGATTCGCCCAAGGCATGTAAGTGAGAGTGAGTGAGTGAGCATACAATGCGGAGCAGCTTTCCAATGCTATATTGACCTCTTCATTCAGCAGCTGTTGTATCATCCCAACTCCCACGGTGACGACGGCATTCGTAAATGGGACTAAATCATCTGCATGTCTCAAATCTTGCACGCCCAGGCTGAATTGGTGGCGTTGCAACGCTCGATGCCCCTCCAAGACACCGAAGCTCACTCTCTCATTCTCCAATCACGTACGTACAACCTTGGCTCCCAATCCAAACCTCATGCACTCGCCCAGCCTCCACGTCCACCCTGGAGCCGACGCCGTACGTCGTCTTTTCCCGATCCGCCTCGTTAGGATACCACAGTGTCATCTCGCCGTCGACAATCAGATGCGTTGTCAGCCCGCCGTGCGAGTGGGGAGGGTAGTGAGAGTTTCTGCAGCAGCGCATTAGCGACCGAAGCACACAGCCACCATTGATCTGCTGGCGATGCTTTCCGCAGAGCCCGAACGGCAGAGAATGAAGGGAGAAGACGAGGCTGCTACTGATCATCATCACACATGATTCAGCACCTCAGCGGTACGTATTATAGAGGAGAACGCCCGAAGACGAATGATAGAAGACACTTGACCATGTGCAGCAGACTGTTCACCTTGGTAGTAGTACTATTACAAGCGCTAGATAGATGGCCAATACGCGTATCAACCAGTCACGACGACCAAAGGCACGGCATGCAAAAAGAATCGGACGCTCTGATTCGAACTTACGGGCCATCACTCCAGGTAAAGACGTTGCCAAACCCCCACGATCTGACCTGCGCCTCATGCCGGTCACCCATCTTGGCGGGTGCGTGCTTTTTCGATTGCAGGCCGCGCCCCGCCGGGATCCTTCAAGGCGAGCCTTTTGCCTTTGTGGTGGACGCCCGTTTGGGCAGACCGGCGCTCAGACGAAGAGGCTGCTGATACGATACGGCGTGAGACGGTGGCTGAGCTCGGTCGGTCGTGTCTCGCTGGTTCTCTCGGCTCGGCAGGACCAAAGCATAACCGGCATAAGAAAGAAAGCACGCGAATGAAGGATGGGATGGGAATGGATGGTTTGAAGCCGCGGAAGTGGCAGAGGCAGAGAGAGAGGGAGAGAGGCAGAAGAGAGAGAGAGGAAGCGAAGATGGCGCTATTCACAGTGCATGACCTCACTGGCGCAGACCCCACCAGCCCCAGCCCCAGCACCAGCACCAGCACCAGCACCAGCACCAGCAACGGTGCCACGCCCCGAGCCGCAGCGCTGGGAGGCTTGGACAACCTTAAAAATTTGATTTCTGAACTGTGTCATTGATTGATTGATTGATTGATTGACTGACTGATGATGTTGACGGCCACCCAATGGATTACTCGTGATTGACATTGACCAACATCTCCTGAGTGAGTGCCTAGAATTAGCGAAGCCTCTCTGAATACAGGTACTTGACCATGAAACAATGACGAGCACGACCAATTACCTGCAGTGAATGCTCCATCTCCCCCAAAATCTGCCCAAGGCATTATCTCCGCCCTACGAGGCCATCAGGCCACCCATCTTTTTTCAGCTGGCACCGGTCCAAAGCAACCTAGCCTCAACCACACATGCATCGCAAGGGTTGCATTGGGCGAATCCCTCCCCCGATAGCCCTGCTTGTCAAGACTCGTGGAGTCAGGCAGTATACTGTAACCTCTTGTAACCTTTTTGGTGCCCAAGTTCAAACTCTCGTCTGTACCTATCTGGAGTAAGAGTATAGCCATACCGGAACAAGCGCCCTCAACTATGTGCTCTTGTCCAAACAGATTCTAACAAGATTGAAAGCCGGGGTCCTCCATCAAACACAACCATCCTCGTTGTCGCCCTATCAAGCCCAAGCCCAAACACGGCAACCAACCAACTCCACGTCCAGCCCTGCCAGACACTGTCACTGTCACTGTCACCCTGCCTGTCCACTCTACCTACTTGTCCTTCTCACTCCCCTCCAATCCCGTGGCTCGCATCCGACGGACGGCATGCCCGCTACCGCCAGCCTCACTCAACCCAGCGCACCAATCGCCGGCGACCGCATTGCAAGACGGCAAAGGCACTCCGTACGGCAAAGGCACTCCGTACGGCAAAGCCTCTCTTCCCTGCTCACAGGCTGGCCGGCTGGCTGGCCACGGGGACAGCGCCATAGAATGTGGCGTCTATCTGTCACTCCATATCTGTACTCCCTACCTCTACTCTGTACATACATCACCTGTGGTTACTCGTACATGTGCATGCCACCAGACGGCAAACGACTATTCGCGGAGAGCGGGAACTTGTAAAGCGATTGCCACTGGACCCTCAGCAGCAGCAGCAAGGCTGTGCACGCAGCAAAACACCGAGGTGGATATGCATACAAGCAAGACACCAGACAAGCCCATGCCCTCGAGTCAGGTATACCTACCTAGTACCTGTAATGCCAGCACAGGGCCAGACATCCTCGCACTGTCGCACTGTGCGCCCTCCCCGCCTGCCCGCCCGCCACAGCGCCGCACACCCCGAATCTTGAGGCTCAACAAGGCAAAGGCAAGCCGCTCTCGCACGGTGCGCCCCGTCGAGCCGCCCCGAGAGCCCAGTCAAAGCCCAGTCTCCAGCCTCCAGCCTCCAGTTCTCTCTCTCTCTCTCTGCCGTGCCGCGCCAAATTGATGACTGACTGCAATCCATGGAAGCCCTGGGATCCAGAGTCGCTCCACTAAAAAAGACCCTCCCAGGAACAACTTCCCAGTAAAAAACTCCCCCGGGGAGAGGCTACATGTACAAGTACCAGCACCAGCAATTCTCGTACAGCACGAGTAGGTACTCGTACGGCACAAAAAGTGACAAGTGCCGCCGCTGCCACTCGCTGCACATGCACAAGTACCCTTCGGGTTACAGCGAGAAGGGACCCTCCGCTAGCTTACCCAAACGAGAACCATTGGCAGCTGAAATAGCACCAGACCTCTTGCTAGTGAGCTTGCTAGTAGCGGCACCTAAATTAAGAAGCTGACCCGATTCCTTCTCACCAGCTCGTTTCGTTTTGCTTCTCTCTCTCGCCCTCTTCCATCTTCCATCTTTCCGCTCTCTCGAAACTTGTATTCTTGCGTCGATATTTGCCTGTTCAGACTGATTGGCGTATCCTCGCACAAGATAGATGCACAAATAATATAATAATCTCCGCCGTTCTACAGCTGATCCAGAACGGGGAACCGAGAGCCCGCCCTTATATAAGACAACGACAGGCGAGAACACACACGACAGAAACCGGGCAGCTTATCCCACGTCAAGGGCGGAAATCCAAAAGAAATCCCCATATCGACGCCATCCTCCGCCGACGTCTTCACCCTCTGATTCCGTTCACATTCTCGCCCCGGCCTCTGGTTCCTCGTCCGCTTTCCGAGAGCGGCTGGCCTTTGCTTGCCTCTCATGCGCTCCTCACCACGACAGCGACAACGACAGCGGTAGTATCTCGCTTCTCGTCCTTGTCCTCCTCCCCACCCCCAGCCAAGCCAGCTACCATGTCTCTCACCTGCGGGCTCTTTGTAAGTGTCCAGCCGACTTTAATTTTCCTTTTCCTCGTCCCTTTTCCCTTCTTAATATACCAACTCCTATCCTCTCTCCTTCTCCATCTACAGCGCCATGCGCAGACCAACCCACCACGCTAACACATGGCCAAACCTACAGCGCCGTCGTTCCAAGTCGGACGAGAAGAAGCCGCGGCGGACTCGCACCATTTCCATTTTCGACCCGAGTCTCGATGCCATCAAGAGAATGATCAGGAATGCCACCATGATCTCCCCGATACGGCTCGGTGATGGCGACCCGACCCTTTCCCGCCGCAACACATTGACACGCGAGCATTCCATGACGCCCGAAATGATTGCCATCCTGGAGAGAGTATACGACGACCTACGAAGCGACGAGCCTGAGCTATCGAAAGAAGCATTCATCAAATTCATCATCGACATCCAGGGCGAAACCATGGTCCAGCTGGATAAAGAAAACTACACTCTGGGACAGTTTCTCTACGTCTTGGCACACGAGTATCGCTGGGAAGCCATCCGGAAACCATCAGAAAAGGACTACTCGAAGCCCATCACAAACTACTTCATCAACAGCAGTCATAATACTTACATCAGCGGCAACCAATTGGCTTCAAAAACTTCTCCAGAGGCGTACATGAATGTCCTAAAGAGGGGCGGTCGTTGTATCGAAATCGACGTCTGGAATGGTGACGATTTTCTGGTCGGCGGCGAATCCAAATCCCCATCTGGAAACGGTCATTCGAGGGCCATTTCTGGCATATCCGGTAGCTCTCTCCCCTACGCGGCCGCTGCCGTCATCGAGAAGATGGAAGACAAGCTCGAAGCCGCCAAGGGCACTGCCAAAGGCTACCTCGGAAACCCAAGCGGCGGACGCTCAAGAAGCACCAGCACTCACAGCAGAACCATGACCGACGACACTTCATCCAGTTCCAGCAACGTATACCTTGCCCCGGTGGCCAACGTCTCTAGCGAAAAGTTGGAGGTCCCCCGCTTGTCAAGGACTCGACAGTCTCTGCCCCGGGGAGAGCCCATCGTCACCCACGGATGGACATTTACGACTCCCTGTGGATTCCGCGAGGTGTGCCAAACGATCAAGGACCATGCGTTTGCCCACGGCAATGACCTGCCCATCATTATCAGCTTGGAGGTCCACGCGGATCACAACCAGCAAGAGGTTATGGCGACAATCATGAAGGAGGTCTGGGATGACATGCTTGTCCAGCAGCCTTACGAGGGCTGCGATCCCAAGTTCAGGGTACCCACGTTGGACGACCTCCGGGGCAAAATCATGGTCAAAGTCAAGCGCGCAGTCGCCAAGATCAACGGCCCGCAAGACGTCACTGCGTCCTTGCCCGTTTTGCAGACAGAAGACGACGGCTCGACCACGGACGATGAGCGCGCCCCTCGACTCCGAGCAGCCGCTTCTTCCCCCGCCGGGGCCCTCCCTCAGCAGGATGAGAACGGCAAGGTGACGATATGCAAGCCCCTGAGCGACCTGGCCGTCTACACCCGCAGCGAGCGGTTCAAGAGCCTCAGCACCCCTCAGGCGAAGCAGCCCACCCACATCTTCTCCATCAGCGAGGACAGAATCCTGGAGCTGCACGACAAGTTCCCGCGCGAGGTCTTTACGCACAACAAGAACTTCTTCATGAGGGCCTTTCCTGCCGGCCGAAGGATCAACAGCTCTAACCCGGACCCGAGCCTCTTTTGGCGAAGAGGCGTGCAGATGGTGGCCATGAACTGGCAGAACATGGACGAGGGCATGATGCTCAACGAGGCCATGTTCGCCGGCGAGGACGGCTGGGTCCTCAAGCCCGCGGCGTACCAGGGCGCCGACAAGGCCAGCGTCACGCTGGACCACGCCGCCAAGCACACGCTGGACCTCTCCATCACCTTCTTCGCCGGCCACAACATTCCGCTCGAGGAGGGCGAAGAAGACACTTCGCGCAACAGGAGCGCTCTCCGGCCCGTCGTCAAGGCCGAGTTGCACATTGGCGAGGACGACAAGGACGGCCACGAGCACTCTTACAAGCAGCACACAAAGACAGCCAAGTCATCCAACCCTGTATTCATGTCCAGCTCGCATCACAAGGATGCCGGCGACAAGTTGCAGTTTCTCAACATTCCCAAGGTGGTGGAGGAGTTGAGCTTCATCCGGTAAGTTTTTTTTTTTTTTTTGATTACAAACCTTTCTTGGACCGTCGTTTTTTTCTCTTTTTCTTCGCTACCCCCTGTCGTCTCCCCCTTCCTCTCTCTCCCCTTGACCCGGGTCTTGCGCAACAGAGGGCTCTTTGTGTCACGCTCAAAATCGCCACAAGATAGCTAGTGTTGAGCTACACATTGCGCAGTATAGCGTGGTGCTCTGGGGGGGGCGACTGGCAAAATCGACCAAGCGGTCGGTGGTTCCTGTCCGAGTTCATCAATGTCGTATCTTTTCCCTCTTCGTGGGTGCTACCCAAAGCTCGTGTGAGGAGAGTGTGTGTAAGTGGTGTGATGTGCCTAGCGGTCAAGAGCAGCAGCCTTCGGATCCAGCTTCTCGGGTTCTGTTTGCGCAACTGCCCCCCC